AAACTTCTGACTTCTGATAACCACAAAAAAATTATAAAAAGCATATTTGCACATTGTACCACTCAGTTTCATTATGAATCATTACTACTGCATGGTTGAACTGAGTCTCTTTGTTTCAAGACATGAAACCATCAGGATATAAAATGACTCTTGACCAATTCTACTTGTGATCACTGTCCGAAAAAACAGGGCTGGGGATTTAGCTCAGAGGCATAAGCACCTGCCTGGCAAATGCAAGGTCACGAGTTCAATCCCCAGTACAAAAAATAAAAACAAAAACAATTAGGGCCTAAGTTCAGGAATATACTAAAATAAGTCTGTAAGATTAATTTACAAAAGAAAATATTATGCAAGCATATAGAAAATAGCATCCTTGGAGATAGCTCAGTGGCACAGTGTCTGCCTGATAAGCAGAAGATCCTAAATTTCCATTATGAAAAACAACAACAACAACAATAAGAAAATGGCATTCTTCAGGACAACAGCACATATTCATATAATGAGTGACTAAAAGTGAGAAGAAATGTCTGTCAAAAAGTGAAAATTACCCAAGCATTGTGGCTTACACCTATAATCCCAGCACTCAAGAGGCTGAAGCGGGAGGATTGCCCTCAGTTCGAGGCTAGCCTGGGCTATAAAGTGAGTCCAAGGCCAGCTTAAATTGAAAAGAAATCAATTAAACATATTTATGTGATTAAATATATTTAGATGCATTTTAGGCCAAATATGCTAAGACTGAGAAAATTAAGATCTGGTATACAGACAGACAAAACTACTGTTAACAGAAGGAAATGTATGAAGTCACTATTAACTTAAAAAGGCAGATAATTATACTAGATTCTACATTCAAAATACAATACAAACCTTACAAAAATTAGGCCTTGAAGATTCAGGATATATATGAAAAAAGCTAATAATCAGTAGTGATTTATGGTTCTAATTATCTGGCCTTAACCTAAACCAAGTCCCATGCACTGGACTATTCCTATTCTGTACTCTACAATCAATCATGGAAGTGGACACTTCTTAGCTGGACGTATGCTGTCCCCTCCTGGGACTGGGTGCCCAGGAGCATTTATTCAATTTGAGAAATTAAATAAAACATACCTGGAAATGTCATGAAGAATGCCAAGCGTACATTATTTCTAATGACAAAAGTTAGATTTTAAGAAAAATCTCTTGTTTTCTTTGGTCAGTATGTCAGCAGCTATTTCATCTTTGTGGGAAGGCCTTGAGAAGGTAGTTTCAAGAGGGCAATGAATTGTCTTAATAGGCATTACACAGAAATTATCATATTAAAATGTGCATTTGTTTTGCTCATTTCAAACAATCCAGTATTCTTCAGTCAAGACCAAGAAAACCCCAAATAAATCAAAGAAAGAAAGTACTTTAACAGAAATACTTACTTAGGAAACCAATTTAGTCCCAAGTGCTCTGTCTTAGAATATAATATTCTTTCTACCATGTCATAAAGTGGTCTCCAAGGTAACTCCAAATCATCTCTTGAAAGAAGTTCCTTTTTCCTGATTTAAAAAAGATGAAATATATATACATATATGGGGTTATATGTGTGTATAAAACATACTATACTCAGAGGACAGTTAATTATAGTGGGATTTGCTTTTTCCCACTCACAGCCACTCAGTGGCAGAACACAAAAATTACCAAGAACAATGCATCAGATTCATGCTGCTGCTCAAACATCAAAGAGCACTAAATGAAAAAGTATTTAAATTTGTGTCATCATGATTATACGTGAATTTCACAATTCCCCACACTATTTAGGGGAGTACTTCATGTTTTTAATATTTTGCTTTTTTTTCTTTGGTCTTTTTCCTTCATCCTTTGGAAAAGCAAAAGAATACATGATTCCTATCTTCTCAAGTAAGTTATAATCCATATTGCAGAAATAATTAGTGCAAGTAGAGGCCAGAGATTTAGCTCAGTGGCATATAAGTGCCTGCTTGGCAAGTGCTAGGTCATGAGTTCAATCCCTGGTACCAAAAAAAAAAAATTAGTGTAAGTGGAAAAAAAAAAAAAATCAAACACCTAGTTGAATGCCATAAAAGAGAACGTTTCGTAGACATATGAATTTTTTAATCAAAAGGTAAATTAAATATACAATTAAGCTTATAATAGTGCTTTTTGTGATCTTTTCCCAACTTAGTTTTCATTCTCTAAAACCCTGAAGAAACACCTTAGCAGAAATCACAAGAAATGGACTTACTTTAACAAATTGATCAAGAGACGGGCAAATCCTTGCATCATACTGATTTCCAATTTTGGAATTGACACCAACTCATACAATAACTTAATAAAAAGAACATGATCTTCTTTACTAAATTTTCTCCCATAAAGTCGAATATATCTGCAAGAAAAAAAACAATAAACCCTTTGAAAATTGGTATGGTGACACAAGCATGTTCCTTTCTGCAGCCAAGATATAAAAGTAACTTCATGTCCATGGAGGGAAAAATGGATTTTAAAAAGTGTGGTATGCAAAAACAATGGACTATTCAGCATTAAAATACATGAAAATCCTGTTGTATGCTACAACATAGGTAAATCTTGAAGGAAATGAGACAACTGTATGTGTGCACACACACACTAGTATATTCCATTTATGCACTGTGTAAAGCAAAGTCAAAAACACAGAAGTAGAATGGAGGGTGAGATGTGGTAGTACTAGCCTGAAATCCCAGCACTCAGCAAGCAGTTAACATTACCTACTACCTTGCACACTTAAGAATAAATTTATGTTATGTGTTTTTCTGGGCATACATATATAATAACAGATGTGTTGACATCCCAATTTCAAATATTCCTGGTATTAAGTATTTTGTATACTAATCATAAAGAATTATATTGCACCTTAGTCAAGCTACTAACTGAGTATTTTAATAACAAACACCTTTTCACCCCAGTAATGCAGACTGAACACAGTCCTTCACACATGCTAGGGAAGCACTCAAAGGCTAATAACATATAGAATTAGACCTTGTTTTGAGAAAGGGTCGTGCTAAATTGCTGAGGCTGGCCTCAAACTTATGATTTTTCTGCCTCAGCCTCCTGAGTAGCTGCAATTACAGGTGTACACCAACATACTTGTTACTTGTCTTAATCAGCATATTTAAGGAATCTGAAGGAACTAACCCAAAATCTATTTACAACAAATTATTGGATACTAAAACCACAAACCATTTGAGAAGAACTACCTAAGTTAACAGAAAAGAGCATTACTATTCCTTTTATGATCGTTAGCATTCCAACAGCTATCATCATGCTGAACTTTCAAAAACCATTAAGAGCATTTTTAAAAAATTTTCTCAGGCAGTTCTGAATGTAATCAGCTCTTTACTGTCATTTCAGGGTATGAGCTCATGATTTCAGACCAGATCTACGAGACTAGACAGATCTCACGTTACTCTTCCTGGACCACTGTGTAGTCACTGTAGGCTGGAAGTAAACGAACCAGTAAGGACATAGAAAGACCCTAAACTGTCGAAAATACTACCTGGTAATTTGGGGTGGCTGAATAAACAAGGCTGCAACTTTCTGAAGCCTCCCCTTCAGTTTCACTCAAAATTTAAGAGGAAAAGCTACAATCATATAAATGTCATTTTGAATGAAAGCAAATTATCCTTAAGAAACTGACACCCATTTTTAAGATAAAGGCAAAACAAGATAGTTAAAAATATTAGTCTCCCCTTTCAGTGGCTCTTCAGGTCTTGCCAACACCCCAAATGACTCTGCAATTATGCACCCACTCTCCAGTCACTGGAATAGCTGGGAAACATTAGGAAAATACCGAACTAAGCCACTTAACTATGAAAGGGTTTTGGCCCAGGCCAGACACTGCAGCCAGTAAAGCCAAGGAGCTCCTATCTCCCTCACCCTTAGGAATTCCCTCTGGCGCCAAACTAAGACCAATGGGCTACCTGTGCATCCCTAATGCCCCCTTAGGTTCCACCCCAGGCCTAGGCTACTTATGTGCCTCACTCCAAGTGTTCCACAGAGAGATTGCCGGCCTGGGGGTGGAGATGCCACGCCCCAGGGGGTCAGGGGTGTCTCTCCCCACATTCCCAAAATAAAGGTTATTTATATTTCATACTTCTTTTCAGCCCCAATCCCCTCCCCCCCAGTTCTAATCAGTTGATTCCCTGACCGGGAACAGCAGTGAGAGACTCCTGGGGCTGATTCACAGTTTTGAGTCCTCTGCTGTTCAGGACCAACCAGACTGCATCCTGCATTAATTCCTCACTTCTACACTGTAAGCTTGGCTGCTGGTTTGCAAACAACACCCACCAATTTACCACAGGTAAGCAACTCCCCGGAGACAGCCATTGGGCCAGGCTCAGGTGGATTTTTCTCCCTGCGTGGGTTCATGACCCTTTCACGTCTTTTAGACAGCCCAAACCAAGGCCTTTGTCCACTCTGGACAAGCCAATGTCCACTCTGGACAGCCCACACTGAGAGGCTCTCACATTTTTCTAGAGCTTTTTAAGTTCTCACAGCAGAGCGGTTACTCGGCCCACACAAAGCCCACTCTTAATATTGGTGATGGCCAATTATTAAGAGTTTGGAGCCATATAGCCAACCCGCTGGTCTGGGGTGCAGCATGAGGACTCTAATCCTGACAGACCACGGTCCATTGTCTCATCTGATTGTAGCCCCATGGGCTAGACCCCACACCAGATTTTATCTCGGGGACCACTTCCTGTCCTCCCCCCAAACCATACCTATCTATGGCTTATCACACTGTGGACAAGCTTACAGAACTCTCTTATCTTTGTTTTGGGAATGTGCCCTTTACCTTCCCACCAGCTTCCCTGTCCCTTTGTCTCCTCCAGGATTCCTCCCCCTCCCCGAGCGCCTTTCGGAGTTTTCTCAGTGCCTCCTTTCCTCCGGCTTCCCCTCCCGCGCTGCCAGCGTCCCTTTGTTTCCCCGTGCGCGCCAACCCATCCCCCGCCGCCGAGATTAAAAAATGAGACCAATCAATGTTGAGATACACATAAGATTTTAAACAGCTTTTTGGCCCTCACATCTCCTCCAATTCTGTGCAGTATCTCCACTTCCATGCGGTGCTTCAGGTCCACATGGGGTTGGCGTTTCTGTGTGCCCCACAAATAGTTTCAGCTCCACATGGTGACTCAGCTCCACATCCAACCGGTTCCCTGCCGTGCAGGCCCATTCGTGCTGGTGCCGCCCCAGCGTCCTGGGCCACGCGTCCCGCGAGGGAGCGCGGCTCCTGCAGGTTACTGTTTGCCGGCTGCCAGCCATGCGCCTCTGGGAGAAGAGCCACACTTGACTAAAAGCTGTGGCGGGTCTCCCAGGCCATACCGCCACCGCCCCGGCCGGCCACTACTGCCCACCCCGCCTACACTGCCACTGCTGCCACAGCCGCCGCCCTGCCGCTGCTGCCCTTTGTGCCACGAGATGCCGGCTCCATCACCGGCAGCGGGCCAGCCCCTGCGCCCTAGTCCCGCTGCGGCGGCCACCATGAGCCCACCTGCCGTTGCAGCCGGCACCCCCCCCCACCATCACAGCTCAATTGCGTATTTCCCTGCACCATCCCAGCGCCATCATCGCCGTTTTGGGGTGCGATCTGAGCCCGCCCCTGCGTGCTGTGTTGCGGCACTCACCCCGCCCACTTTTCATGTTCCACCTACACGCTACATGCCAGATAATCTCGGCCCGCTCCAAGCACAACTATGTTCTCTCTACAGGCATGCTCTGTCTGCCTCAGAGTTCCAAACTGCCTTAGACACTGCGCGTTTACAACATCTCGCGGCTCCGCTCAAACACATTTTTTTTACAATTCAGTTCCACTCAAGAGAGGCTATTTTTATTACAATTTTTGAACCATTTATTCAAGGTTAGTGGCCACCTGGTAATTTTACCAGCCTTGCTTATCAATTAAAGTCTACAGTAATTTCCTGTTTTAACCACTAAAATTAAGAGATATTTATCAATTCCTTTTTGCTGTGGACCACCAGTAATGTTCTAAATTTATTGCCTCTACTTTACTGTGTTGTCCCCGATCTCCTGTTTAACAACTAGGTGATAATAACTTGAGAGTTTATACTAAATTAAAGATTGGTAAACCTTTACAGCAAAATGTTTCCATTAAAGCTTTTTTGTTAATTCCACGTGGCACCCTATAAAAACTGTTATAACATCCAGATAAAGCCTGCTTTCTAATCTAAAATGCCAATATTAAGCTCCTACATACTTACTTAATTCTACAGATACCTTTTACTGTAGTCCAGATCTCAAGCAACAAGGCAAAACTTGACCTTCAAGCTCCACAGAGACCTTGATATGGTTTTTCATATTTTAAATAACACTTGCAGTTCTGAGACAGGCAAATCTACACAAGGTAGAGCTAACTGCCCCCCCACCACGGACCACGCTCAAATGCAGCAGAAGACATTGGGCAAGAAAATGCCCCATCCTGGCGTTCTTTGAGACCTTACTCCAGGGCTGCTGGGCTGTCCTGGTCACCAGAGAGTGGGTGGGCCATCCTAACTTCTAGCCCTCACAGAACACTGCCAGATTCATCACCAACACAAATTGCTGCCAAAGACTGAGAGGGGCTAAGGGCCAACAACAACCCGCCTTTGTGGGTGTCTGTCTCAGAGTCCAAGTCACATTAAAACTCTCAAGGTAAGACATTCTCTATGTTTGTGGACATAGAGGCCATATATACAGAGTTCTTACTGAGTTTTCAGACTACTTTAATAAATCCTCAATGTCAGAGTATTAAAGGTCAACCTATGCCAGTTACAAACAGGGCCTATTTTGTGCTGGTCCCAGTCCTAAATCTTAAAATGCTTTTATTCCCTTTCATACAGGCTGACAGATAACATTTTGTCTTCTCACTTTGTTTATACTTTTTCAGGATACATAAAAGCCTTTCTCACAACCAGGGAAACTGCTGATATACATGCTAACATTCTGTTGCAGCAAAACATTCCAAGGACTACAACCAGGTTACAGCGACCCATACTTGATATTTTTGGTAACCTCAACAGCAATCAAAGTTGCTAGAGTGCCATCCTGGGTTCACATCACCAGGCCCTAGATCCAACCATCCTTTTCCTACTCATCTCTGCCTTACCAAGGCCTCACGGCCACAATTCACAGGTTGTCATGTTTTGTTATCCACTTTGGTTCCTAATTTCTTACATTCTATTAATGATCAATGTTACAGCAGGACTCAACAGTATTGCCTACAGACTCCAACATCATATATACCAGAGACAAGCCTTACCGACCTACCTTTTAACTTTTATGCTTTCATATGGGGGAATAAGCACCTCTCATAACTTCACTCCTCCTAATCCCACGTTTAATTTTTCAGAATTCTGCCTTGCCGTAGAAATGTTCCTACCTCAACATCATCCTGATAGAATGACATGTCTAAATCAAAGGCACCTTGCCCTCTACCTCACTTGGATCCTTAAATATGACAGTGCCATGTCTCCTTATAACATCTTGTCTCTTTGTTTTTTCAGTCTAACATACGTGCATTCACCAGTGAAGCTGTCCTGGCTAAAATACCTGACACCAGCTTCTACCTAGACATCAACCGTCATCCCATCAACTCCCCTAGACACCAGTACAGCACCCTCAGCCAGCAGGACGTAGTTAAAGAGAGAAATCTTCACCCCTTTTCATAATAATCATAAGACAGGATATGAAAGGGTTTTGGCCCAGGCCAGACACTGCAGCCAGTAAAGCCAAGGAGCTCCTATTTCCCTCACCCTTAGGAATTGCCTCTGGCGCCAAACTAAGATCAATGGGCTACCTGTGCATCCCTAATGCCCCCCTTAGGTTCCACCCCAGGCCTAGGCTACTTATGTGCCTCACTCCACACGTTCCATGGAGAGATTGCCGGCCTGGGGGTGGAGATGCCACGCCCCGGGGGGTTGGGGGTGTCTCTCCCCGCATTCCCAAAATAAAGGTCATTTATATTTCATACTTCTTATCTTTTCAGCCGCCGCAGGTCCTCCTCCTCCCCCCCACAGTTCTATCAAACTACAAAGCCCATTGCTTTTATTGAGGAAGACCAACAACTAGTTTTTTTAAACATTAAAGACATAAAATTCACAAATCCAGATTTGAGTATTATTAAGAGATCGATTTGGAGGGAGTTTCCCATGAACAGCTAGAGCTGCTGAAAAAGCTAAAGATGTTAGGGGACGTTCCTCTGAAACCTTTTGTTTCCCCTAATTTCTTGCCGAATGACAAGCAGTCCTTTTCTCAGCATTTCTTAGAATGCGGTCCAAGAGGCTTTTGTTCAAGAACACAAAAAATACTAACCATAAAAACAAAACCAATAAATGGGCTTTAATCAAAAGTACAAAATTTAAAATACAGTTAAAAGTGAAAAGTCCAGGGGCCAGGGATTTAGCTCAGCTGCTCAAGCACTTGCCTGGTAAATGCAAGGTTGTGAGTTTGTTGTGTGGTACCAAAACAAAACAAACAAAACCCCCAAAATCTACAGAAAAGAATTTTTTAAAAAAAGTAAAAAGTCCAAGCTGGGTGTGGTGGTGCACACATGTAATCTCAGGACTCAGGAGTCCTGAATTTGAAGCCAGCCTGGGCTACATAGTGAAACCTTGTTTTAAAACATAAAACAACAAAATAAAAATAAGAAAAAAAAATAAAAATAAACAAGAAAGTTCAATTGAGTGTAAGTACCTGTAATCCTAACACTGTGAAGATAGGCAGATTGCTAAATTCAAGGCCAGTCTGGGCTATGGAGCATGACTCTGTCTCTAAATAAATAAATACAAACATCGCCCAACAACTAATCAACCATTTTGCAACATCTATGTTCATAGAAAAAAATACTCAATATCATTATCAAGTTCTAAAAACAAACTAAAGCCACAAATAATTCACATTCACCAGATAGGCTAAAATTTAAGTCTAACAATATCAAGTTTGGGTAAGAAGCTGGAACCCCTGGACCTTTTAATACGCTGCTAGTGGGAGGATAAAGTGATAACAGCCACTGACAATTGATAGAACTGTGGGGGGGGGGCAGCTGAAAAGGTAAGAAGTATGAGATATAAATGACCTTTATTTTGAGAATGCGGGGAGAGACATCCCCGACCCCCTGGGGCGTGGCATCTCCACCCCGGGGCCGGTGATATCTCCATGGAACACGTGGAGTGAGGCACATAAGTAGCCTCGGCTTGGGGTGGAATCTAAGGGGGGCATTAGGGATGCACAGGTAGTCCATTGGTCTTAGTTTGGCGCTAGAGGTAGATTCCTAAAGGAGGGGGAGATAGCAGCTCCTTGGCTTTACCGGCTGCAGTGTCCCGCCTGGGCCAAAACCCTTTCAACAATGTGGATCTTATATGTCCCGAAAGGCCAATGTGCTCTAAACACTTTTTCTCCATCTTGGTACTACTGAGAAGTGGTGAAAATTTTAAGAAGAGGGGCCCGAGGGGAGTTTTAGGTCATAGGCCATGCACTCCTGCAGGGTGCTGGGACCTGGTCTTGTCCTCTCTTTACCAGGTGGACAGCCTGCACGCTACACTCTACCCCAACGTGTTGATCCCAAGCCAGACCTAAGGCAATGAATGGGGCTGCCAAACCATTAGAATCTCTAAATCTGTGGACCAAAATAAACTTCATGAATTTACTTACTTCAAGGATTTGTTACAGTAACTGAAAACTTACCAATATACAGCCACTCTGGGAAAACTAACTGCTTAACTAAGAAGCTAAACAAAGTCCTGTGTAATGATCACCCAAGGGTCTCACTATATGCAAAGTTTATGTATATAAGTTATCCAAAGACAAGTATAAAAAGGTACACAGATCTATTAATAATCATACTGAGCAAAAGAAACCATACCCAAGAAAATACTATGATTTCATTTTAAACAATGGGCAATGTTACTCTCTGGTGTCAAAAATGAGCAGCAGCTTTCTCTGACAAATGAATATTAATTAGGAAGAACTTCAGGGCTTGGGCTACAGGCTCAGCAGCACATTGCCTGCTTGGCAAGCACAAGGTCCTGAGTTCAATTCTCAGTAATAAAAAAAAAAGAAAGAAATTCATAAAAATATACAACCTAATCTGTGTTGTTACTCCATGTGTATACATGGTATGATCAAAATACATGATGAATGTTTAAATTTAAAGCAATTATTACAGCCAGGTATGGGGCACATGCCCATAATCCCAGCACTACTTGGGGAGGCTAAAGCAGGAGGATAACCATAAATTCAAGGCCAGCAGGGACTACATAGTGAGACCCTGCTTAAAAGCAGAAGAAAAAAGAAATTATTACAGTAAAAGACACATTACCCTTAATTCTCCCTTAAAACACTTCATCTTTTAAAAACATACTTATCATCCCATCATTCCTGCCACTTTCTGAAGCAGTTTTTAAAATTTTCTTTCTTAGCCAGGCATGGTGGTGCACTCCTGTAATCCCAGCACTCAGGAGGCTGAGGCAGGAGGATTACTGCAGTTTGAGACCAGCCTGGGCCACAAAGTGAACCCAAGGCCAGCCGGAACTGCATAGCAAGACCCTGTCTCAAAAAGATAAAATAAATAAGCAAATAAATAAATAAATAAATTTTCTTTCTTTCTTTTCTTTTTTTTTTTTTTTTTTTGGTCTGGGAAGAACTCATAATTACGTGCTTGCAAGGCCGGTGTTTATTCAGCTTGGCTAAATCCCCGGCCCTAAATTTTCTTTTATACCTTTTCTTTTCACCTTTACAAGATGACCACAAATATGCCAAATATACTATTCAGTGGAAATGTTGGCTCATAAAAACTTTCTGCTGTGCCCTATTCCCCTTATTCACAGGCTGCGGCATACTGCACCTCTGACTCAGTCCCAAAGTTGAAAGGACCAGGAAAGGGAAATGTTTTGAATCAATTTAGAATATCAAAGCTGCATGACAGTGCACAAAGACACTCACATAAAAGAACTTTTAGAAAGTAGTAAGAATGACAGGACAAGTGTGTTCAGAGCAAGGTAGAGTATTTTGAGAAAGATTAATGGCTATGTCTTTTATTTTTAAAAATTTAAACCTTCACTGCAGTTTGCAACATCAATGTAAAATTTTTCGTAAGCTGTATACTTAAGAAAACTGCAAACCAAGTATGAAGGAGCATGCTTGTTACAGCTACTCTGTAATCTCAGCTACCTGGGAGGGTAAGGTGGACATATCATAAGTTCAAGGTCAGGGTGAACAATTCAGGAAGTTCCTGTCTCAACAAATTCAACAGGCTGGGCTATAGCTCAGTAAAGTAAGAGTGCTTGCAGCCAGGGTTAGTCGTGGTGGTGCACACCTGTAATCCCAGCACTTGAGAGGCAGGTCCATGAGGGTCGCTCTGAGTGAGCTCCAGGCAGTGAATTAATGGCCTGCTTGAGCTATACACTGAGTTCAAACCCCTAGCCTGAACTACATGGGCCCTGTCTCAAACCACCCCACCCCAACCCAATGCAGAAGTCATGACTGAATTTGTGAATGGACATCTTTTTCTGTAGTACTGGGGATGGAATCCAGGGAGCCCCACACCATTATTTTTTTTTAATTTTGAGAGGGTCTTGCTACAAACTTTTTCCTTAAGCCAAGTATTTTTCTTCAAGGCAACTGCTGAGACTCTAAAGCTCTAACTGTATCTATCAATTTCTATTTCAGAGCAACATTAAGACTTCATAACCCTAAGACATGTAAGACATATTTAGCAATACAACTTAATAAACACTTTATTTTTAGTAGTCTACACCAAAAACTGAAAAATGGAATTTTAGCTTAAAACTTTAAAACATAATTGAACTATTTTCAATGAAAATACTTAAAAATTGTATAGATTACCTCTTAAAAATTTCAAATAATCGAGCCAGGCATGGTGGCACAATGTCTGTCCCAGCACTCAGGAGGCTGAAGTAGGAGGATCACTCTGAGTTCAAGACCAGCCTGGGCTACCATAAGTGAGTTGAAGTGCAGACTGCACTACACAGAGAGATGCTGCCCACCCCCCCCAAATCAAAGACAAAATGTCAAAAAAAATTCAGTATGCATGTGTATCTAGTTACACACAAACATTCAAAATCTTTTTTAAAAAAAGGAAGTTCACTAGTGAACAACTATTTAAACTGGAATTTATTAATATACTCTGATATAGTTATTTGTTTCCCAAGAACTTTTACTAAAATAGAATATATTAAATACTAAAATATATATTAAAAATGTTTTTATCTGAGTAGTACAATGCAGTGACTTTGTATTTTTCAGTATGTTTTCACTCAAAATCTTCAAAAAAAAAAAAAAAACCCTCCTAAACAAACTTGAAAAATTACAATTAGCAAAGAATAAACAGGGGAAGGGGTAACAGCAATCACTTCAAGCCAGGCATACCAAAACATGCCTGGCATTCCATCAAGTCAGAGATTTAGGGAGGTTTCATCTCCAGGTAAGGCTAAAAAAACCAAAAAGGGTATTATATGTGCACATGCTAACAATGTGGCTAAGCTATACTGAACTACAGTTCAATTCCTCAAGGAAAAAAAAATTTTTTTAAAGGGATGTGGGATATAGCTCAACACAAAGGCCCTAGTTTCAAAATACACACACACAAGGGGCTGGGGATTTAGCTCAGCGGCATAAGCGCCTGCCTTGCAAGCAGGCAGTCGTAAGTTCGATCCCCGGTACCGATAAAAAGGAAAAAGACAAAAACAAAAACAAAAAAACCCAGGAGAGACAGACACAAAAACAGAAAACCTGAAGTTCAGGAATAAATTAGTTTGATTTTTTTCCCAGGAAAAAGTCCCTCAACAGTACATATAGTATTAAATAAAGACATATATACACACCCGACTACTCAAGAGTCCTAATAGGAGAATCAAAATTTGAGGTCAGGTTGGGCAAACTTAATGACCCATTTCTAAATAAAAAATAAAGAGGATATTGCTACAGGAGGACAGGAGGGTCCCTGTGTCTAAGCCCCAGTACCAGAAATCAAAAAATGAAGCAAAAAACCAAGTACACCTTCTCACTGCTAGAAACAGTAAGTGAACAAGTAAACCACAAGGTTTTTCATAAACCCACCTTTCCTCTCTTCAATGAATGACCTATTTGTTGCAAAAGCATTTCTACAATAAATGATAGGTACAGGATAAGAATATGACTCAAACAGCTCCTAATTCAGGTGAGGAAGCTACAATCAGATGTGAGAAGACAATCAGATAGGTTATTGAGTTTCCAAGTACCTAGAAAACTATGCAGAATAATAACTAATAATAATGAAGTAGTAATACAGTTTTCTGACTCACTTTTCTAAACAAGTTTCATCATCCATTAAGGAGTCACTGATCTTGAAAGATAAGGATGCTACTATAATCACTTACACTCTGAATTAGGTAACCAAAGATTAAGACAATGTGATCATTTGTACGGAGAGACAAAGTCATACAGATTAGCTCTAGAAAAAGAAACAGATCAACTATACTAACTTTATTTCTCCTGACATACACAGAACAGGGAACTCCATTTACTAAACTTTACAGAGGCTTGACATTTTATGTTAGAGTCTCTGAGAGTAATCTCTCTTCAGAACATGAACTATCACAGCTCTTTAGGAATCTACCAAAAATTGCCAACTTTATTTAAACTGTATTTATTCACTTACTTAAAAGCCATCTGAGTAGAGAAATTTTTTAACACAGAATTATCTGGGGCCAGAGATATAGCTCAGCAGCACAGTGCCTAGCTGGAAAGCGCAAAGTTGTGAATTCAATTCCTGGTACCAAAAATTAATTTCTTACAAAAGCCAGAAATAAATACAGATTTGGATTTTGCACTACAAATATGGAAAGATATTCACTAGAAATGAAATCTCAATAGAAAAAATTCTCAGGTTTCACAACACAAAAACTTGAAATTATATTTTGAATAAACAACAAAAAAGAATTATCTGCCAAAAATACACGTATTCATAAGCAAAGGAGTAAGACCATAAAATTTCTTACTCTAGAAACTTCTGCTTTACTATTG